ATAGTATCACAGACTACTCTGAAGAGCAGATGTTCCCATGCTTGTGGTTCAGCTCTGGGGTTGGGGAGGTGTGAGTTCAAACTCCCTCACCGTTGCAGGATCCCTGCATGGCCTTCAGTGAATGCCTTCACCCTCTCCAGGAAGCGCTTGTATGCATCACGTGAAGAAACCATGCATGAAAATTGATGAGGTTCTCATGTGCTATGCTATTCAGCAAAATGTACCGAGCAGGAACGGGCAGAGAAGTCTAACTGCAATAGCCTGACTTCACTGCCAGGAAGGTGTGCCTTACTGCTAGGACTCTGGTGGCATAGCTCAAATGGACCGGCTGAGGGCAGTACAAATCCAATAATGTGAAGAAGATGCCTTAGGCTCATCCTTTCCCTGAAAATGTACTGATGGAGTAAATGGGACCAAGTAAAACACATTTTATGCCTTGCTCCCAATTGCAGTGTACTCAAAAAATTCCTTTAGGGAAGACACAGATTCTTTATTGTTAATTAACAAATACTTCCCCTCGCCTCCAACATGTTTTGATTTGGTTGCATCAGAAATTTAAACCATTAAGGAATATCAGGCTTATCTTTCCCTTTTGGAACTCCTCCTGTGGGTTTGGCTGTCACTGTGCATCTTAAAAAGACTCTGGAAAAGAAGGTTTAACTCATACTGCAGTCATCTATCCACACCTATAAGAATGACAACTCTCCCTAAAGATTTTATTCCAGAAAACTTCCAGCTTCAGCAGTGGCAGTTTCATTTTGGCAGCACAAAAATCTAACCACTGTGCAGCATTCTCAAACTCTCTGAAGAATGGTAATTCAGCCTCGGTTCCTCCTGTCAATTTAGGGTCTAATCCAAAGCCCACTGAGTCAATAAAGAAATTCCTCTTTGTTCTAGCAGGCCTTGAATCATGGCCAGTGGGCCCCTTCTGAACACATATGATTTAAATAATGACTGTGCCTTTCACAACCAAATGATGACTACCCAGGCTGTGTTTCCTTCCAGATGCAGATGTTGAAATGTCAGGCTTTTATTCATGAACACATTTCTTCTTGAGCATTTCATTGAAGAAAACATGATTGCTCAACACGCTAAATGGATGGATCAGGGAACCTCAACACATTGCAAAGAGCCAGCCAAGCTCTCACAGGATTTGTCTTTGGACGGGAAGCTCTCAATTGATTTAACCAGACTGACAAAATAACAATTTGCATAGTCTACAAAATGGGGTACATGAGCAGATTTCAGCCAGCTTGCACTGCTGAGATACCAGGTAGATGATAGCTTGTTCTTGCTAGAAGTGTCCAGGGGGGAAAGTACTCAACACATAATACTTTTATTTTAAAATATTTAACAGGAAAACTCCCAAGATCAGATCTCATTTTCAAGTTCTTCATCAGGCAGCAAAACCAGGACAAATAATACATGGGATTCAGACACTGTGTATCATAAATGCACGTGGGCTGGTATTTGCAGCTGTGCTGCAGGTCAAGCCCAGTATGCACATGTGAGCTTGTCTAAGGGGCATGAAATGATGGATGATGGAGACAATTCTACTCTCTCTCTCTCTCTGTCTTCCTGCGACTCTTTCCTTGCAGTACCCAATACAAAAATGTCAACCTATCAGTGAGAAATTAACAATATGCTCAAAAATTTAAATACTGTTCAATTAGCAAGTTTTGGCTACTTTCAGCAGAGGCCCACTTTTGGTAAAATGTATGTACCTACAGTATGGGCACTGTTCTTTTTGCAGTGTAATCTACCTTTGAAAATCTTGCTTATTTACTTCTGTTCATTGTGCTAGAACAGCCAGGTCTAAGATGCTTTTTTTTAACCAAAATTACAATCTATCTCACAAGTGTTATCTCAGAAATTCTTTTTTTTGCTTTGCCAGCTTTGCTGTACCTTTAGGGAAAGCTTTTTCCACCAACAGGTATTATATCCTACTGAAGTTAGTTTCGACATCAGTTTCATGAACATCTTGCAAGCCATTCTGCAAAGCCTGTTTCAGAATATTTTTATTTATTTATTTAATTATTTTTAATTATTGCTCCTATATCACCACCATCTAGCTTTCATATGGTATGTTTTAGAAACGTATATAAAGAGTGGTTTACTTAGATTTAAATCTGATCTCAAGCAGTGTGAGAAACCGTGAAGCTTGCTATCAACTGAAGTACAAATATCCATATTTTTTGCACTGCTGTAAAAAAAACCTCATTTAAAATATCAAGAAGGCTAAATCAGCACAACTTTCTCCTGGAGATCAGCAGTAATTCTGACAGGAGCTGTACAAATACAAGTTATTTAAATAATATGCCAACTTGCTAAATGTAAAGATTATATTAAGCTTGGAGAATCGAAACATTTCACGTTAAGAAATATTAAGAATTAGGTTTCTTTCAATGATTCCTTAATTGCGTTACTCTTCTCACGCTCCAGAAAGAAACTGGTACTGGGTATAATGCTTGCAGTGCTCCAGCACTACATGTTACCAATACTGAGATGCACTTAAGGAACGAGGCAGTGAAAAGAAGGGTGTCATGGTGACTGTTGAGCACCACCCCATGGAACCACACTCTTCACTGGGTCTTGCCACAGTGGTCTTACAAAATGGAGAACGTTTTTCTTTTTTTTTTTTAAATGTTCACAGACAGAAATCTGGCATCTGATTTACAGAAATGCAGTGTGCTCCTAGCTGTAAGCTGTAGCTGAAATCTCTGGAGCTGTGCTCTGAATACTTAAAAATTCAAAGTATTCTTGAAAAATCAGATCCTGGTTGTTCCTTGTCACTCAGCCCTAAACTATTCTTAAGCTCTCTCAGAGTCGGCTGTCCTTAGCTAAAATTGGTTTAATATTATTTCACTTCCCACATGTATTGTTCAGATAAATTCACTGCTGTTTCTCAAGTGCTCATATGCAGCCTGGATATATCCACAAAGATTCACTGCAAGATGAGGATGCTATATCTAGGATCAAGTACTGAATGACATAGACAAAAAATATTGACTAGCTGCGCTCCCCAAAAGAGGCATAGTTCCTAAAGGAGAAACAACGGCTGAGAGAAGGATTACAAGTAATGTATTTTGGCAGTCACAGACAAACCAAGCGACCACATCAATTTTACAATCTCAGTTCCAGCATTTTCTAATTTGTAAGTGTTCTTCTTCACAATCTACAGTTAACAGAAGTTGTTATATAGGTAACACAGACATAATATTCACTGATAGTTTGGAACATTACACACCCAATATTATATAGAGACTGACTCCTCTGCCTTTCATCAACACCTAGATTCATAGTCCATGTCTTTTCCTATAAAAGCTCATAGAGAGGCTCCTGAAAGACAAAGCTGTTACCCTCTAGGCAGATCAGGCACCCAGAAAGCAAAAGATACACACTTTGCCACTGGCTTCTCACTATGTGCTGGTAACAAAAATGTAGAGTTAGGAACCCAGGGTTGATTTCAAGTGTTGGAAAGCAGTCAGTTGGCATACACACACTTATTTTTTTGTTGAATGGGATTCGTTTAAAGGAAATCAAGAAAACAGTATTAAATTATTCCTGACACCAAGATGAATCTTCCTTTCAAATCCAAGCCCTACTCCAAAGCATGCCTTTTTCAAAGTTTCTTAACACAATAGTTGAAAACTCTTCCTTTGCTTCTAATAGGATAAGCAATGTTATCCACAAATACAGCAGGATTTTTTTTTTAATTCAGCTTGAGGCAAACTGCCAGTATGAAAATTTTCATCTCAGTTAATGAGAGTCTAGAAAAAATTACAAACAATGGAAAAATATTTTAAATGGCTAACGGTAATGAATTACATTCCAGTAGAGCTTTCAATTTGCTCTATATGTATTCTATAACCAGGACATAAATGTCTACACTTTTAGTAATCCAAAATTTCAGTCTTAATAGGAAGAAATTCTAATGCAAGGAACAGACACCAGGCTAGGAATTGGGATATACATATTTTGTTGTTTGTTCTGCTGCTAATCTTCTGTGGTTTAGAGCAAATGCTTACTTTGTATTTTTCTCTGCACTTCTCTGTCTTTTCTAGTTAGGTTTTAAGCTCTCCAGGACAAAGATCATATCTTAATAATTTTTGCATACCAACAGTCACAACAGTCCCCTCCAGATCCCATAGGCATTACCAGAATATATGCATTAAATTAGAGTAACTTTTCTATTTCATTTCTGATTTTAAAAAATCTGCTAATAATTAACAAGTTAAACAATACAGTGCTTTCCAGTGGCTACATTCCCTACAATTCCTGATGGTAAATATTTGTTTAGAGTATTATTTTTGCCTGTTTCCATCTCTGGAACAGAAGAACATCTTATAGCACTTTGCATAGAGCTCTGTTGACCTGTTCTCAACTAATGCAGGATAATAGTGGGTTGAGCCTTGCTTGCCTGAGGAACAAATACTCACAGTTACCCTAAATCCAAAGACTCTGCAGAATCACTACAGTTCTCCTGGGCAATGGGTTAAGCCTGAAAGGGCATTAAATGGTAGGCACATCTCAGAGGCAACAGAAAAAAATAAACATTTATATTTGGTATTGTGTTTAGGCAAACAGAAAAGGCACCCAAAGGTGGAGGAGTTGGCAGCTCGCTCTACTTCCTAAGTGGTGCAGATAAATAATAGTACACGTCACTGAGCTTTAGGTCACTCCATAAGTGATTCCTCAGCCACAAGCCTTCATGGACACCTGGATAAATGACACTTAGCATTCTTTCCTACACAGTAAGACCCACACTAGTGTCCCTTTACCTTGCTAAAGCAATGTAGATGGATTGAATTATAACTGTAATTAGGCATTCATGTTTTAGAGAGAAATATATTTGTAGATTCAGTTCATACCTGCTCCAGGGGAGGAAGGTTCAAACATACTAGATGTATCACTGCATGTGTTGGAAGCTTGCTCCGAGAGCTTCTTTTTTGCACTTCCATCTGCAGACTTATGTGACTTCTTTTTATTCTTCACCAGAATTTTGTACATCAAATCCATAGGGCTTGGAAGAGGAACCCCAGGTTCAAGCTTGAACATAAACAAAGAGAAATTTGTTACAACAATGAAACAAACGAGCTTATGGCAACTTCTTAGGGCCCACACCATGCAAGATAATTTTGTAACCTCTAGAAGTATATAAAAAACGTATTTTGCACAAGAGGTAAACTCAACACTAAATGAAACAGGGCTACTGAGGTTATTTAATAAGAAAAGAAAAATGTCTACAGGAATAACCGAAATTAGGATTAGTTCAAATATGAATGTCTGCATTATGAAATCGCAGCTATGAGAAGCAATTGCATTTAGAAGATTACAATTCACCATATTGGACAATCTCTGGATCAGAAATGATATGTTTAAGACACCAACAGCTCATGTTGTTTAACCCTCTCCTTTAGACTGTTTCAAAAGGCCATACATGAAGAATGCCAGAGGACTGAAACACTTACAATAAAAATTCACACAGATATTTGTGATTTGATAAATACCAAACCATATTACCGGGTATTTTTCCAATGGATCCATAAGCAGTGCATCTCCAAATATTAATCTGCAATACTCTGCCATTTTTGCTTGTTGTTTAGGGCTAAAGGGGAGAAAAAAAAAAAACAAAAACAAAAGAAAGAAATGAGTCCTACTAATGTCACAAAGTGAAAGCAGCAGTAGTGGTTTATCTAATATCCCTAAACTAGATATAATTTCCTGATCCAATTGCTGTGAATTTTTCAGAGAGACCTAGATATATCATGTTATTATTCAGATTCCTCTAATAGAGCTTATCAAAAGGATAACACATGAAGTAAAGGCACTAGTCAACTGAATAATAGTGAAACTGAACTTTTAACATTAAGGTATATTTTCCCATGTACTTAGGAGAAAATGAAATAATGAGGCTGTCCTTCCTTTAAGGAAATAACTGTTACATGCATTTGCCTCTTTCAGGCAACATTTCTATTCAAAGTTTAAATATTTTCCTCCTTATGTTGCTTTATACACATATCTGTCATTCTTCTCACAAACACATCCCCAACTCAATTTGGATTCCTTTTTTTTTGTCATACCTGACCTAAGGCATAAAACCCAAAACAGTGACACAGAAAGCAGTTTCCCCTGCAGGTATCTCTCTTAAATTTCCCAAGCCAAGGGTACCTATCACCTCACTCAGCATGTCTACAGGGCACAGCCATATAGAAGAAGGGCCAGAAGGCATTACTTGGGTCACAAAAGCAGTAAAGCTGCATCAGTTATAGGCACTTGTAGAGAAGTAGCTGGTTTTACTGCAGATTTCTGAAATGCAGCTAGTTTTACTGCAGATTTTCTGCTAAAAGGCAGCCCACTTTCCCACATTAGTTGCGTTAGCCCCTGTGAGGTGGGTGCTGTGCCCATGTAGCATGACAGCCCATCCAGCCACAGCCCTGCCTGGAGCTGCATCTCTGCGCTGTTCTCCACGATGAAGCACTGACCCATCCATGGACCTCCTGGGCTGGATCTGCACCAAAAGCTTGCGCTGCTCTTGCCAGCTCACTCAGAAGTATTTCCCCTGACATATCCTCACTGGCAGAAGTCACAGTGTAGATGTAATTGTGCTACTGCTAAGAGGTATTATGTCAATTTGGAGAATTGCTGTAATAAGTGCTGGTATAACTGCATTTTATATGCATATAATTACACACTGCATGCACGTTATGTGTATGTAACTATGACCAATGTACCAGAACAGCCTTCTTAGTAGGGATCTGGATGTAATAACAAGTTGCAAGGTGGAGCTGCTCAATGATAATTGTATCTTATTTGGGTATGTGGTCAGATTCCTTTTAAAAAAAAAAAAAATAATTAAATTTTTATTTAAAATCAGAGAAGAGTGTCAAATTTTACCATAGTAAATTACTTCAGCAATTTTCATGACAACCTATAGAAGTAAATTGAACCTCAGTAAATTTTACTTATAATCAATTTTCCCTAAGTGCAACCAAAGAATTAAATAATTCCTGCGTATCAGTGATGGGAGTTTTAGGACTGAAGATAGGATATACTGCTCAGAAATATTACTCCAATCATCTTAAAATGCAGCTCAGCGCTGCAGTCACTCTCTTTCTAATTTTAGATGACTGTATTTTTGTTATATGTGCCTGTTTAAAATCCGTAACATCTGAGCTCAGGTATCTTTACAAGTTTACATTTTTGACACTCTGTTGAGAAGTCTCAATTAAAGAACAGGTTTACATTGCTTAATATAACCTCCTCAACTACTGTTAATTCCGACCTGCATATCATGGAAGATACATGGTATAAGCGGTTATGTTACCATGGAGCTCTTTTTCATGACAAAATAGAGCTGGGTATATAGGAAAAAAAGAGCGCTCGTTTTTCTCTTGTAAACGAAGTACAACAACCATTAGTTTGTCATTAGCTACCGACTGATCAACTGGCACTGGAGCTTTTCCTGGGGTCAGCAAGGCCAAACCTGAGCTGGGATAAAGGCTGGGTGGTGTTTGAATCAGAAAATGTAATTTCCCTAAGATCAGCATTCTGGATGTCCCTTGAAACAGGTACGGGGTGAGCTGGTCATTAGCTCAGTCATTAACAAAAACACATTGCAAGGAGGCTTTAAATTATTCCACAAAGCTACGCAAGTGCTGCATGGAGTTTAAATGACTACAGCATTTCAGTAACGCTGTCTTTTGCAGACAATTCTGCAAAAAACCTAAAAGTCACTTTTAGCTGAGGATGGGAAATTAAGATGAAGGCAAGTAAGGCAGTGGAACTAAGAACCCACAAGGGAGAAGGTGATGGGAAGAATAGATGAGGCTACAACAGTGCATTAGCTAATTCTAACTGTCAGCTACCAAGGGGGAAAAAAAAAAAAGCACCTCACTCTAGCAAGCAAACAGATTGGGTATTTGCTACAGGTCTAGAGCAGGGGTCCTCAAACCACCACCCACGGGCCGGATACGGCCCCTCAGGGTCCTCAATCCGGCCCGCCGGTATTTACAGAACTCGCCTTGGGGGAAACCAAGGGCTGGAACCAGTGCCTTGTCCTTGACCTGCCCCCCTGCGGCGGGCGAGAGGCGCGGGCATCTCCTCTGCCGGGCAAACTCAGACAAATTTCAAGTTAAATTAGACCTGCTCATTAACCAAGTAAAGGAGGAAAACTTCTGCCATCTCCCCACAACTCAAAACCTGTCTGCAGAAAAACCAGCAGTTGCATTCCCAAACAAAACATGGATGGATGTACTAGAAATGTTGCAAAAGGAGTTTCAAATTAGATTTAAAGAGCTTCGTCTCCATGAACAGGACACACAGCTTTTCCAGAACCCTTTTTCTGTTGACATTGAAACTGCTGATCCGATTTACCAAATGGAATTGGCCAAACTACAGACTTGTGACTCGCTGAAAGATGCATTCAAATCAAGCAGCCTTACTAATTTCTATGCATCTCTACCCTCAGAGACATATCATCATCTCAGGAACCATGCACTCAAAATTGCAACCGTCTTTGGCAGCACCTATGTCTGTGAGCAGACGTTTTCCTGAATGAAACATCTGAAATCTCCAATCAGACCCAGACTAACTGATGAACACTTGCATGACTTGCTACGACTGCAGTGACAAATATGGAACCTAACATTGACCATCTCATTAGCCAAAAGCAGGCCCATAGTTCACATTGAAATATTATTTGTTTTTGTTGATTACAATTGTTCTTCATTTTCAATATTGCATTCTTTTTCCTGTTTTTTGTGCACTACTACAAATAAAATATGTGCAGTGTGCATAGAAATTCGTTCATTTTTTTCCAAACTATAGTCCGGCCCCCGACAGTGTCTGAGGGACAGTGAACCGGCCCCCTGTTTAAAAAGTTTGAGGACCCCTGCTCTAGAGGTTGTAATAGTGAATTGTATTCCATTCTTCTCCATCAGTGTATAATTTGAATAGACCCAAGCTCCTAGGAGGCAGAAAGTTCAAAGGACATCTCCTTGAGTCAAAAGAGCATGATTATTGAAACTGTCATATTTAGATGTGTTTTTAAACAGACACATCAAGTCCAAAAAGAACTCTTGGTAGCAATCAAAAAACAATATGCAAGAGTTAAATCTAATAAATTTCAAACTATCACCACAGCCAGAACAAATTCTTGCGATATTCTGTCTCCAACTACATGCTTACCTCAAAGAGAGCACAGTGAGAACTCTCATTTTTGCAAAAGAGAAAAATGCAGTGTAGCATTATTTAGGTTTAGTGTATAACTTCCAATGTCACTGCATGCCAGAGGTAGAAAGAAGGAAAAGGAAAATTATATGAAAAACGAATGGGTTTTAATACTATTAAAAAAAACCTCTCAGTAGTAGACAAAGCAGGACAAACTTGACATTACAAAATTACTTGTCTTTGTGAACTAGACTATAGGCATCAGTATTTTTAAAAGCTCCAAAGAGGGAATAAAAAATATTTAGGAGTACCAGCATTTGACCAAGTCGTATTTTTTGCGTGTTCTCTCCCCTTCTCTAATATATATATATACACACACACATTATTTCAAGAGTTATATCATTGGTAATAGTATAGATTATGTGTCACTATTACAGTATTTGAAAAGTTGGAATATCAGTTTCTTTTTGTTCTCCCTTCTTTCAAAGTTATGAACCAGAGCAACAGATTGAAATACCAACTTTTCTACATCAACATATGTCCCCATTTGTGTTACGAAACAAACAAGCAGGTATTTCCTGGTCCACAGCTACTGTTATTGGAAATTCTCTCAGCATTCATGTATTGCATTGAAAACTGACTGTCTCAAAAGAGCTGACTTTATCTGCTTTATGATTTTCCACTCTGCAGACATGGACAAGTTGCACATAAACTAATTATATATGCCTCCAAAATGTGCCAGGGCAAGGGAAGATAAAGTGGTGACATGATACCTGGAGATACGGAAATACAAAGAATATTAAGAAATGTTTTCATTACTGTTACTGCATTGCTTGCACTTTGTTTTACCACGTTTGTATTATTCCTACCATGAAGGTCAACCACAGAGGCTCTTTGGCACTACTGCACAACTACGGTTTCTAACATCATATTATTATCGCTTCTGGAGAGATCCTTCTTTTGCATAAGACAAAGATACAGATCCTTCCCAGAAGAGCTTAAAATAATTTAAAGCGTAGGAAGAAAAAGTGATAAAAATCTTGATAATATTTGAAATAACAATTCCAGCAAGAAAGCAGCAATATAAAAAACTGTAATTAAATTTAATCTTGGAAGCAATCTCATATGGATACTGCTCAAGGATCACTTAACCTTTTTGCTATGTCATCAGTGCATTTCTAATTATAGAGTGTCGGCTTTCAGATCTGCAGATTGCTTATCGCCTTGCAAGGCCAATTTCAAACATCAAGGTCTTCTTGAGGTCTTTTCAACATTTTCAGTGCACTTTTCTATTTTTTTTTAATAGAAATACATCTTTTCTTAGCACTGTCTTTTTTCAGTATGTGTATTTTTACTTCAATATAAATGATGGCATACATAATATTTTACATATTCTAAAAGTTATATGCTTGCTTCTTTTTCTAAACTTTTTACTGCATAAAAACAGGCAAGAATTAATATACTATATAGTGGAGTTACAGTACAGGAAATGAAAATTCTTCACATGCTATGACAATACTAGAGAGGAGTCCTTCTAGGAAAAACACTGAAAGAAAGCAAAATGAGATGATTAACACTATGTGCTAATAAGTGATTTCTTCCCTATGTGGACAAAAAGTATTAAAAATAATCTCAGGAACATAAACCAGAAGGAAGAAAAATTGCATTTTAAGTCCAGTGGTGATTATCACTGTCATATCTATGGTGGTGATGTAAAACTGATTTACCTCTGATAATCACAGTCTGTTTAAAAGCCAAGAATACAGAACACAAGCTAAAACCATATTTCTGTGAAGTCTGTTTAATTTCTGTTTAACACTTCTACTGATTTGTATGAGACCAGCATTTCACACATGAACACTGACTCTTGTAACTTGAAAATCAGAAGAAAAATTTGATCACCCAAAAGTACAAACTGATGTCATAGGATTTATTTGACAGCAATTCTATTAAAAAAACTCAGCATTTTTTCTTAATACTTAGGGAAAAGCCCACCTTTAAGATCTAGGAGAAAAACAACAATCTAAGTAAATGAAAAGACAAAAGCAGCATTCCACAAAATTAGGTGAAGGTTTCTGTGAGTGGCGTGACTAATTGCAGATTTCTCTAGCAACTAGTGAAGAAATGAAGGGATAATTGTAGCAGTCAGTAAAACAACTAGAAATTATTTTCAGCCAAAGCAAAATTAGAAATCATACACATTAAGTCTGATGATTCACTGCAGCAGAAAATAATAAATAGCAATAAAGCCTCAGAAAGAGAAAATACTTGATATTGTTTTTGCAGACTTGCTTTGCCAAAAACTTATGTCATAGCAATGCA